GATTACCGGAACTCGTGTTGCATCTTTTGTATGAAAAGTGCTTTATAAATAAAATGTGATTGATTGATTGATTGATTATGGTAACGTTGCATTCCGTAGCCTACGCAGCAGTACCTACAGCCGGATGTCTACTGCCAGCTTTGTTTGGGAGCATTTTAAAAGACTTGAAAATGAAAACGCAAAGTGCATGTTGTGTGACCAGATCGCAGGTGTTCTGGGCGGTCGACAAGTGGATTGCGCAGACATTTAGAATCTCGGCATAGTAAAGTTCCTGAAGAAAGCCCATCAACAAAACATCTGAAAACGCTGGATGGCTACATTAGCAAAGCTAGCGAAAGCTAGGTGAAGTGCTAGCGGAGATGGCAGCTTTTGATGGCTTTACGTTTAATATTGTAATAGTTCTGTGTTGTCTGTTTACTTCCACATGGGGCGCTCTGATTATGATAGAGTTTTACCGGGGTGAGTTGTCACACGTCTGGAGTGTGAGTTGTGGCTAACAACAGCTTGTCTTGTCAGCTTGTGAATAAAAGCATCTTGAAGAGCACTGTTCGAGCATTTCTTACCTGGGAGCATTACAATATTGTACATATTTGAGTGATATCACACATTACTTGGGCTAAAAACAACAACTACAAAAAACAGCTATTTCCAGGGAGAATTTTTCGTCTTTTCCCGGGATTTGATACATCTTATTTTCAGGAAAAAAATGAAACCCTAATCCGGTGTGAACGCTGCTCATAAGATCACGTACATACAGCAGGAGGTCTGTGGTCAAACTGAATGCTTCACTATCACATTGATTTTCTATCGGGGTATTCCTATCAGGGGCAACAGTGGCTCAGTTGGTAGAGCATTGGCCTTTAAACCTGAAGATCATGGGTTCGAGTCCACCACAAGACCTATTTCACAACTCCAACTGATGACTGCTGTTGTCGTGTCCTTGGGCAAGACACTGAAATCCCCGCTGAAAGATCAAGGCTCCTGTGAACTCAGCACCTGCAGGAGGATCAGTGAGGGGCTGGTGCAGCTCTGACTCCCACCCCCGATCCAGTCATGGATTAAGGGGAACTCAATGAATAGAGGGTATTCCTACTAGTTAATCGCTAAATCAAAATACTGAGCCCTGTTTCCACCAGCCCAACTTGGCCCTACTCTAATAATCTCTACTTGGTTGTGTTTCAATTTTTGCATATGCTGCTCTTTCTACATGGAATGTGTTGGGAAAAGACTGGAAATTATCTGAATTTATTTCATTGAATGCTTCTAAATCCAGATTGAGAGCACTAGAGACATCCTCATCGACATGTAACTGTTTATATAATCTGTAATGTTATGAAATTGTATGTCACTATTTTTTATAATCTGTAATTGTATGTAACTGTTTTTATAATCTGTAACTGTTTTTATAATCTGTAACTGTTTTTATAATCTGTAACTGTTTCTATCATCTGTAATTGTATGTAACTGTTTTTATAATCTGTAATTGTAACTGTATGCACATTTTGTCCAGGACCCCCTTAAAAACAGGTTTTTAATCTCAATGGGACTTTAATGGTTGAATAAAGGTTAAATAAAATACAAAATGTCCATTACACTTTAGTATCTGGTCCGAACAGATAGAGCCTTGTTCAAGACCAGAATTCCTCCATCAGGGATCAATAAACAATCTGTCTTTCTACAATACAAAGTCACAGAAATAGCAGCGTAGAAGTTCCCCTTTGCCACATCCTGTCAATCATCCCCCACTGAACAATAGCACGGCAGCTCGACGGGGATCAGAGCCCGTAATCCCACTTCTCTCTCTGCTCCCATTGGCCTCGGCCGCTTCAGCACGTGGCCTGCGCTTCGCTAATATGATTAAACTCAAGTGGGTGGAAACGCCACAAGTGAATCCACAAGTCTCCATCTCCAAAATGTATTTTAATGAGCAGCAGAGACGCAACACCAAAACCACACGACAAACCTCCACACACACAGTCACCAAACACAAACGCAAAACCGCAGAGAGGTTGTTTTAAAAAGCGTATACAGGCCATCTGCCTCTTAGCGTATATAGTGCTGCACGAGGGATTAAATCCAGATTATGGCCGAGGCACGACGATGTGTGCGTGAGATTGTGCGTGCCTGTTTGTGTGTGTTGCTGGTCAAGAGTGTGTCCTTGGCTCCACAGACAAGCTGAGGGTTGAACACAAAGCTAGCCCTGGATGTGAGCGCTAACGGACGCGGCAAAAGCAAGAGGAAAAGTTGTGTTTTTCACCGTGTATAGTCGTTTTAGATAAGAGGAGATGGCGTTCCTGATCAAGAGCATGATTGGAAACCCCTTGTCGGGAATAGGGCTCGGAGGTGGAGGGGACAAGGAGGAAGACGTGGCCCCCAAGGATCCGGCTAAAGCGGCGGGAATGACACGGGAGGAGTACGAGGAATATCAAAAACAAGTGGTGGAAGAAAAGTGAGTAAAGAAAAAAAAGTCTGTGGTCGAGGTGTCATGTGACCTCAACCGTCTGCTCCCATCAACCACGATTATAGACCCACAGATACAAAACAAGACGTATTTTCAAGATTTTTAAAGTTGTAATTTTTGTGTGTGTTTGTACGTGTTCAGCCAATGTTGATTTTTCCCGAGGCTAGTTACAAGCTGGAATTTTGTGTCCAATGCTTTTTTTTTTTTTTTATACACTCATTCTCCAAATAAAAACTTTCAAAGTAAACACCGAAATTGTATAAAAATGCACTGTAAAAAACACATAAATCTATAAATGTAAATATATTTGCTGCTTTTTTCACCCATGCAAAGCCGCAGGCCCTGTTACATAACCACGTCCACTCTCTCCCGGGTTTTTAATTTTACAAATTTATTTACAATTTGCGACAAAGACATTTAAAAAAAAAATCATTTTCAGCTTGGCCTATTTTTTTGCGAAACCCTTTGGCTTCATTTCAAACCCGCTCAACACGGTCTGGTCGTTTAATCTCAGCTAATTAGCGACAGAGGTAAACGTTGTACCGTCGCCATGGTGACAAAAAGCATGAGTTTTATAGTGAGAGTAATATAGTTGATTCCAAGTAGCGTTTTTTACACGACGACCCTTATTTTACTAATACACCAGCGCGGTATTCAGTGCATTAGGATCACGTAGAATAGATACTTGTTTGATTTAGCATTTTTACATTTCTCTGCTTTTGTTTTTGTTTTCCAGGATGGAGAGAGATGCAGACTTTCTACACAAGAAAGCAGAGAGGGCCACATTACGCGTCTGCCTCAGGGATAAATACAGACTGCCAAAG